TGTGTGTGTGTGTGTGTGTGTGTGTGTGTGTGTGTGTGTGTGTGTGTTGCATATGTATGTATAGATTCCCTGAGGCTGGAGTTACAGGCTATTGTGAGCCACCTGGCCGTGAGTGCTGGAAAACAAACTCTCGAAGAGTAGGAAACTCTCTTAGTTTAGTAATCTCTCCATTGGCCAGTTATTTTATTTTAAGTAAAATGTGTGTGTGTGTGTGTGTGTATGTGTGCACAGAAACTGTTCTCTTAGTTTAGATTTAGATCAGAATTAGAAAGAGAAAATGCTGTCTGATTCTTCCAACTGAAAGATTTCTCATATCACAACTTTACATTCAGATTTCCTTTTTTAAAATTAATTTTATTTATTACAGTTTATTCACTTTGTATCCCTGCTGCAGCCCCCTCCCTCATCTCCTCCCAGTCCCAACCACTCTCCCTCTTCTCCCCCTATGCCCTTTCCCTAGTCCCCTGATAGGGGAGGTCCTCCTCCCCTACTATCTGACCCTATCTTATCAGGTCTCAATAAGGCTGGCTGGGTATTGGAGACCAATAAGCATTTGTGGAATCAAAGGGTGAATTGGTTAAAAAAAACAAAACAAAACAAAACAAACAAACAAAAAAAAAAAAACAGAAAAACCAACAAACCAACCAGCCAAACAAAACCATAGCATTTTACTGAGCCTCCATTGCAAGGTATGGGCTAAGCTGGTGGAAACAGAAACATCCCCTGCCTTGTTGAGCTTACACGCTTAGTGAAATGAGTGAAGGAAAAGAATGAATAGGTAGTTTATCATGTAACCATTACAGAGGCTTGGTACCTCACTTGCAAAGCCATTTCCAAATCCAAGAACATTCTTGGTTTATTTGGGATACAGAGAGACAAGGAACAAGCTTGTGTACCTTCCTATTTTCGGGAACAATACAGGAAGAGAGGATAGAAGGCCATTAGAAGGCCCTGAATTTATTTCAAGTCATGCTTTTCCCCCAACGTTCCTGCAGTTTGGTGTTCTTACTGCTTTGTACCCTAACTGATGCCCATCATTCTAAAACTGGAAAGAACCAATAGTTCCTAACCATCCATTTCCATTAGCGGAGACAGTGTTACCTGTCCCTGTGTTTGAGATTATTGCTTTATTCAAAAATACCTAAAAGCTTTTGCTGAAACACTTACTGATGTTTCATGTCTGTTACATTCTCTCCTGTTTATAAAGAATTTTATTAAAAGAATATTAAGA